CAAAAAATACGCCCGGTCCAACATTCATTGGGATGCGCTTCATTGGACACGTCCCTATCTTTTCTAGCAAAGTGTAAACGCGTGGACGGTCGCGGGAAAGCCTTAAGTTACTGTCCAGCTTGCACAGAGCAGGACCGCACTCTGCGAAGTGATTTGAATAACAGGCTATAACACCGCTCACGTGGACAGAATTTAACTCACCCGACTCTTCCATAACTAGTTCTAAACTCAACCTTTTCTGTTCGTTACACGTCTGGGTTGGAGCCGCAGCCGGCCGCCATGCCACCCCACGACCTGCCACCCCAAAACCAACCGCGTTCATTAAATACGCACGCCTTGGCCACTACACTACTGACAAGCGGTAAGTCTCCGTGAAATATTGAGGGAAGCTATAAATAACTCGCAAACCTCCTGTTTTAGGCTATGAATTTGTTAACATTGAAATAACTTAAATGGCTCTCTCTTGACATGACATGGAACACTTCACACGTAATACAGGTAACTGTGCGCTCAATTCCAGGTGGGGTACATAGTACCGCCCTCTGTATCTAGATCCTGTCGAGACACCAGCCAATCTACTAAAATAACTGATCACCTTTTTTCGTTAGAAATTCCTCAGTTTTGGACTAGGAAGCTGTTTCCAGAGTTCTGCTTTACTATTTCTGGCAACAAAAAGAGAAAGAGTCAGAAAAGAAGTTTCAAAGGAAAAGAATAGGACACCTTCGTTAACTATACCTACGGTAGAATAAGGAATAAAGGCAGAAGTTCCGGATAAAGCTTAATAAAAATTGGTGGCATAAGTAAATCGGTCAAACTACCGAAAGAAGTTACTAGTAAGGAATTATTTCTGCACTAGAAGTCCGCAAAAGTGCTAAATATTTACGGCCAACGAGGACTAGAAAAAAAAGAAAAATATTTAATGTGCAGCTCCAATTGCAATGCTCAACCTCTCGCCTCTCGCGACTGCTTGAACATGCGCACCAGTGTCTGCCGACTCCAGTCTGGTCCGACCAATCACCCCCCCTGAGGCTGACTCCCACGTGACCTCGTTGGAGGTGCCGCGATGACTCCCGCACTCTGACACTTCGGACGCCACCGTCGTGGTTGCGGATGCACGCTCGTCCGGCTGTCAACTTCCTCCACTCTTTTCCCAAAATAGCTCTGCACAGATCCTACTATTCCTCCATCCCCTTTATTCTCTTCTCACTCGAAACCGGGTCTAAAGATCACAACGGCTAGTGTCTCCCCTATTAACTTAAAACACTGCGATGCATACGTTACAGCTTATTTAAAGCAAAATTTCTCAGGTGCAAATTTAAAGATGGCAAAACAGCCAAATTTATTGGATCCGTTAATTTCGAGGGTGCCCATCAGTTGCTTCCTGTTTTTACATAAATTAAATAACGTAAGATAAAATACAAATTGAATTCATACAGAAAAATCGATACAAACAGCAAGGTCATAAGAAATAACCAAGAGGCTAATTAATAACGTAAGAAATTTAAAACGCTGTGGGCAGCAAATACGGGAAAGACGTCTAAGGTAACAAGTTGGGAAGGGAAATGTGTAAACAGGGAGCCAGTGCTACCACGGCAGAGTTAAGATCACCACACGGTCCAGCTGTTTACATAGGTCAGGTTTGAACCGCCGTATGTAGGCTGCCTCCTGGTAGCTAAGGTACGAGTTATTAGTGCCAAAGCAAGTACTCGGAATGAAGTTATGGGGTCAACATAATGGCCCGTGTCTAGCAGACGTTCAGTAATCGATGAATGGGGTGTTCCGTTTTATTTTTTCAGTAACCAGCTAGGTAAATGGTAAATGGCCGCCAGAGCTAAGGAGCTAGACACGGGCCATTCTGTGGACCCCATAACTTCTTTCCGAGTACTTGCTTGGGCACGAACAACTCGTAACTTACGCTACCAGGAGGCAGCCTATATATGGCGGTTCAAACCCGACCTATATAAACAACTGGAGCTTGTGGTGAATCTAACACTGCCGTAGTAACACCGACTCCCTGTTTGCACATTTCCCTTCCCAACTTGCTACCTTAGATGTATTTCCCCGTTTATTGCTGCCCACAGCGTTTTAAATACCTTACGATATTGATTGGCCTCTTGGCCATTTCTTATGACCTTGCTATTTGTATCAATTTTTCTGTATGATTTCAATCTGTATTTTCTCTTACGTTATGTAAGTTATGTAACAAGAGGAAGCAACTGATGGGCAATCTCGAAATTAACGGATCCAATAAATTTTGCTTGCCATATTTAAAATTGGAGCTAATGACACATTACGGACTGTCATCGTCTTCACTGAACAGTCATCAGAAAAGGCCTGGCTATGGACCTATTAGGATTCTATAAGAAGGCGAATATCGAAGCAGCGCAACAAGACAAACATAAAAATTTGAGTTGACCTATTTGTGAAAAAACTCGAGGCGTTCGGCGGGATTTGAACCCGCGTAT